GAGGCTAGAAGCTGTTTTTCCCTGTATCTTTGCCCCCAATGAAAAATGCATTTATCACAGAGGCAGAAACTGTAAATGCAGGTACTAAGTTCATTACCTGAGACATAGCACAACAAATGGGAGAGCGCATAGAAAAACAGTTTTTTTAAACTGTTAAAATAGGAACAAAAGGCAGAGAAGCACACCTAGAGAGAAAGGGTGTGGGTGTCATCCCTAGCGAGGAGGAACGCTGTAAAAAGGCGGTTGAAAAGTAAAAGTGGCTCAGTTGTGTCTGACTCTTTGTGAGTTTTTGGGCTCTATACAGTCCATGGAATTCTCCAGGCCAGAATACTGGAGTGGGTAGCCTTTCCCTTCTCCAGGGGATCTTCCCAACCCAGTAATCGAACCAGGTCTCCCACATTGCAGGTGGATTCTTTAGCAACTGAGCCACAGGGGAAGCCCAAGAATACTGGAGTGGGTAGCCTATCCCTTCTCCAGCAAATCTTCCCAACCCAGGGATCAAACCCAGGTCTCCTGCATTGCAGGAATATTCTTTACCAACTGAGCTATCAGGGAAGCCCTAAAGAGGCATTTAAGTCATTTATGTAGGTCAGTTCTTCTAGGTTTTTGTCTTCCTTCAGGCCAGTCATTTGGTTTCTTTTTCCACATCTGATTTCCCCTGGGTGGGCACCTACCCCTCAGCCAAGATGGATCTCAAAGTGAAGGTTTCTGGGAGGAGCAAGACTCATTATGGCCTGGTGATATCCCCTGACTTTTGACCTCCAGGGAGCCTTGTCCCCAAAAGGCGGTAAGTGGAGATTCCTTAATCCTTTACTCAAACAGGGTTTTGCCCCTCTTTGTCCCTGCCATGACTATTACCTTAGGATGTTTACAAGAAAAAAAAGGCTAGCTATTTACCCAGTTTCTGTTGTTACTTCCTTTTCAGAGGGCAAATAGGAGGCTGATTGTAAACGCCTTAACTGGAGCCCATTTAACCCTTGTCTCAGGAAATTCTAACAGTTTTAGGTATCCAGCCTGAAGCCCACTTCTTCATGTCCCATGAAATGCAAACAGAAGGCCAGCTATAAATGTCTAGCCTGGAGCCCTAAGGACACTCAGAAAGGAGAAAACTACCTGAGACGTAGCAGTCATCACAGACGGCAGCCATTCCCTACCAGTGAGCCCCAGAGGAGCAGAGGCCGTAATACAGAACAGTAACAGGTTACTGGCCCTGGATTGCTGAGACGGATACGACAGGGATGATTTCAGGGAGCCCAGACTCTTGCATCTTCCCATACAGAGAAAAGCGCCAACTTCCCTAACTTGGGATCTCTGGCTTCCTTTAATTAACAATAATCTTCTGTTGTTGAGACTACCTGCCCTTTGTTGCAAAACTTCTATATAACCTGCTTCCTCCCTCAACCTCCTCGGGGAAGTTCTCTCAGGGTTACTTGAGATGCTGTCTCCCAGGCTGGTACTCCTCTTAAAATTCCCACCAAATAAAACATAACTCTCAGCATTTAGATGGTGAATATTCTCTAAGATGACACTTGGTAAGAAACTGCCAAACTCTTTTCTAGAGTGTGGCTGTAGCACTTTGCACCTTGGCAGCAATGGATAGGGGTTTTGCTCCTCATCACCATCAACACTTTACCAAATGTCAGTGCTTTTTAACTTTAGCAATTCTCATAGGTGTGTAATGGTACTTCATTGTGGTTTTAATTTGCACTTCTTTAATGACTAGTGATGTTGAACATCTTTTGATATTCTTACTTACTACCTGTATATCCTCTTTGGTGAAGTATATGTTCAAGTCTTACTCATTTTTTCGTTATTTTCTTACGGTTGAATTTTGAGAGTACTTTATGTATTCTGAATACAAGCCCCTTGTCAGATACATGATCTGTGAATATGTTCTCCCGTTTTGTAGTTTATATCATTCTCTTAACAGTGTCTCTCAGAGAGCAAAAGTTTTAATTTTGACAAAGCCCAATTTATCAATTTTTTCCTTCTACAGACAGCATTTTGGGTACCACAAAAGATGCATTCTAATGGCAGGCTGTATGATTCACAATGATGATAAGAAAGTTATCTATGTGCCAATTTGCAATTAGAGCTATACTTATACAAAATAGAAGGAACAGACAGAAGCATATGAGCAATAGAAAACTAATTCATTTCTCTCAGCCCAGGAAAAATCAAATGGATCAAAAAAGAAATAAATGTAGAAAGGATTTGATAGACTCAAAAGAGCCTAAATAACATGATAAGGCAAGTCTGATTGAACGATATAATGAATACTGCATCCTGAAAACAGAGAATAGATCTCTTTAGCAGCTACCAATAGAACATCAACAAACATTAACATGCATTAGACCAAAGAAAGAGAACACGTTTCTCTTTAAACCAAAAGAACTAGACATTATTGCATTAGTGGTCAGGGAAAGGTCAGAGGGTTGGGGCCTGGGGCTGTGCTGGACTGTGGGTCCTGTGAGCTGCTCAGAAAATGCTAACCTTCTCTAACCACAGACGAGGGTCTGGGTATCCCATGTTCTCAGGCCCTGGCCTGGCAGAGGAGGGCAGTATCCTGCTGTCATCTCCTGCCGTCTGGAGAGTTCTCTGAGTGTGGGAGTGGAGTGGAGGTGTGAGGTCCCTGGAAACTGCAGAGAGCATCACCTGCCCTTCTCCCTCAGAGTTCATCCTGCCCTGGCTCTCGCCCCTCAGAATTCTGGAGCAATACCCTAGCAGCTCTCACCCTGACCCCATGGTCTTATGGAGTCTCCAGGTCTTTGGAGGAGCTAGGCTTACCCATCAGAACCAATGGCAGCTGACCGAGCCAGAGTCACCCACCTCCTTGAGGCAGCCCTGAGCTCTTAACATCAGGGGCACAGACAACAAACCCAACAGGCTCCCACCCCCTGCTCCCCACCCACTCCTCGAGAAAAATGGGTCCTTCAATCTTGATGTTCCCTTTGAGGATGGTCATGGACTCAGAGAGCCAGCCATAGACCCCTTCCTTTCTCAATGGGAGAAACCAGCACTCTGAGGCCCCTAAAACATATCCTGATATCCTTGCTCCTCAACTGAGTGAAGAGACCAGAGCATTAGAAAGGAAAAGACATACAGCAGTTTCTTTGAAAATGCTATATTAAACTACAATGCTAAAAAAAAATAAAAATAAACTTCAATGTTATATTATGATCAATTGGGTGAACAGGAGATTTGTAGACTCCCTGTCCCCAAGTAAGGTCTTCCTGCAAAGGAGGCTAGGCTTCTGGCTTCACAGGTTATAGCAGAGATGGGGCTGAACCAGGGAGAGGGAGGGGGAGGGGAGGTGGGGGAGGGGTAGAAAGTGGGGGGCACTAAGGGAGAGGAGGGAGAGTTAGGGGAACAGGGAGGAGGGGCTGAGGGAGCTTTCCCACCTCAGGGCCCCTCTTCCCCTCATCTTCAGGGACCTGGGAACCTGCCTGCCACCCCCCACCCACCGGGATCCAGGGCCCTTAGGGGTGACAGGAAGGATGGGGACTCAGAATGGGGGACCTGGCCTAGGGAACACCAGTTGGGGGTCCTAAGATGCAGAGGGCATCTGTACCTACCTAGGGAGGGGAGGTGGGGAGGAGCGGGGATTTAGGAGTGGGGCACGGAGATGTGGGAGGCAGGGGGGATTTAGGGTTGAGGGTAGAAAGATGAGGAAGGGGAAGGTATGGAAACAGGGAGACACAGGGCAGAGTGTGGGGGAGGAGGGACTTAAGAAGAAGTGGGTTCAGAGGGGAGAGGGTTAAGAAGTGGTGGAGGGATGCAGCAGGGAGTTACAGGAGGACAGGGTAAGAGGCTGGGACAGGCTGCAGGCTGCTTACAGGTACTGGGGGAGGACCTGGCTGGCAGTAGGGATGCACACAGGAAAAGGAGAGACAGAGGCGTGAGCCTCGGGGAAGGACATGGGGACTGGGGATGTGAGTGAAGCCATATGAGATGAAGGCCATCAGGAAGGTGCACTGGGACAGAGGTCAGACCCAGGACACCTGGCTTCACTGAAACCCACAGGAGGCATCAGGAGGAGTGGGCCACTTGAATGTTACAGGGGACAAACCAAAGTTCGGAGAAGTTACTCATTTGCCCAAGGTCCCACAGTGGAAGAGCGTGGATTTGAACTGGGTCTCCAGGTGGGTTAGACCCAAGTTGGGGGAAGGATGAGTTTAGGCGGAGGTCTGTTATGCCGTAGGAAACCAGGAGACTGTGCCGCATGAGCCCGTGGCCATCTCTCCAAAGGCAATGTAGGTGGTTCTCTCTGCTGTCCGGGCAGGTGGAGAGGGCAATGTGGGCTCACAGTGAGAACGAGGCCACCTCAGGTCTGTGAATATGCACCTGCCATAGAATTCACAAGACGGGGAGTGAGAACGGAATCACCCTGCAGGGGCCTGGCTAAGAGGTCACTGCCTCCTGGCCCAGCGAGCCCCCTGCCCTGGGATAGGGGCATCAGGAGCCGGACCTGCGACAGCTCCTTACCATCAACCCATCCCCAACCCCTCACCGTGGCATTGGTGTCCCTAGGCCACAGGGAAACTTTTTATATTTAACTAGAGAGAGGAAAGAGAACAGGGGGAGGAAGAGGAAGAGATGGGGAGTAAAAGGGGGAGGGAAGGCCCCTGTGAATGGGCCCTGCCCTAAAGCGAGGGCCTGTGCAGGACCTGGGCCTTAGAGGGGTGCGTAGAAGCAGGGAGGCAAACTCTAGGGCAGGAGGTAGATGCCTGTATTGGACAAGAGAAGTCCTCTGGTCTGCCCAAGCCAAAATGATGCCCAGGGAAGCACCCTCCAGCCCCCACCTTCTCCAGGAGACAAAACTCACCTCTTCTGTCATCCTGGAAGGCAAAGTTAGAAAAAGCCTGTTTTGCACTCTCATCCCAGGTCTCGAACCACTTCCTGTCGTCCCTGGACCTGCCAGAAGGTGGCCGCGTCGTCAGGACAGGGTAACCCAGTCCGGGACGCCTTCCCCGTCACCCATCCATCCCCAGCTCACTCACCTGCCTCGGCCTTGCCTGTCCCTCCTCCGGGAGCGCAGGACGAACAGGCTCAGCGCCACCACCAGCAACAGCAGAAGCAGGGCCCCGGCGACCGCCAGGCCCCCAACCAGCGCCTTCCAGGATATAGCCACCTCGCAGCGCGGGCCCGAGAACCAGTGAGTGTCCGTGGAGAAGCAGCTGGGGGAGGGGATCACAAGTCAACATCCTCACCACCTCCCGCGCCAGGACAATTAGTGCCCCTAGAAAGCCCAGGTCCTGGCAGGTGGGCGGGAAGAGTGGGCGGGGCCGGAGGGGCCTGATGATTGGCCCAGCTGGCTGTGGGCGGGGCCTCACCGGCAAGAAGGACCACTCCTCTGCAGAACGCATTGGCCCTGATGGCAGTCAATGGCGCCTTCCAAGCCCGCCGTGCAATTGGTGACACAGCGAAGCTGGTTCTCCTCCAGGAAAGGGAAGTAGAAACCCTCGTAACCTTCGGCAGCAGCGCGGCGACAGATGGCTGGGGGATAGGTAGGGGGTTGCAGACGTAAAGACCTCATGCATTCTACTCTGGGGCCTGGCTATGGTAATTCTGAAAATGGAGAGAGGACTGCATTTCTGCTGGTGGCCTGTCGGCGGGTAGACCGTGGGATTAGATGAGTGCAGAGTAGGCCCGTCACCCTCTCCTCACCTTCTCTGCTGATCCTTCCTCACATGGAAGCTACTAACAAGGACCTGAGAGGCAGCCTTGCCAGGCCGGTACCACTTGCCTCCCCAAAAGTTCTCCCCTCCTCCCTGGGAATTTCAATGGACAGCTGTCCCTTGTGAGAGGGATCCCCGCCACCTGGGGCCACTCAGCCCTTTGCCCCACCTCTCACCTTCAGGTGACAGCTCCGTCCTGGTGGCGTTGTTCACCTTGATGGAGTCAGGCTTAAAACACAGGACTGGGGGCCACAGGCACAGGTGGAGTCGGGGGAGGCACAGGAAGGGACAGAGAGCGCTTTGTCAGTATGGGGGAGGTTTGGATGGGCCATGAAGGAAGGCTCCTTGGGCCTCCCTCATGTCCCCTGAATAGCCAGGGGTCCTCAGCCACCGGGAGACCTTGAGCAACTCTCTCTTCCGCAGCTCCTAGGTTCTGACAACCCTTCCTTAGGCTCACCCTTGACCCAGTTTTCTGTGGACCCGTCTCTCTTCTCCTATCCTGCCTGAGGTACCACAGAGCTGACACCTGCCCCCCGTAGGCCCCTGTGTGAGCTGGAGCAGGCTGGGATGGTGGCTGTGACCCTGACCCCTCCCTCCAGCCCCAGGCCCCCAGCTTCTGTTCACCCTGGTCATTCTGGCAGCTGTTCCCATCCTGGCTGACATTCTGGAGCTCCTCCTTCAAGGCCACCTTCACCTTCTCATACTCCTCCTCCAGCTGGGTGCTGAAGGGTAACTCCAGCAGGACTAGATATTCCACCACGATGCTGCCATTCCTGGGGGTGGGAGTGGGGTGCAGAGAGCCTTAAAAGGTGCCCAGACCCAAGCCACCATACAACTGTAGAAGGGCATTTCCAGACCAGCCACAGCTATGCGGGTGTTGGCAGGAAGGGGCAGAGGCAATGAGATGGGATTCCAGACTGATTATGTCCAGAAGAGGCTGCTAGCTTCTCTGCCTTGGGCAGCCTGGGTAGGCGGGACAAGGAGTGATTGACATTCTCTTTGTGTTCCCTCAAGCCATAATCAAACCGTGCCCTCCTGGGCTCTCTGCCTCCCTCTTGCTGACCCGTCCACTATATCAGGTGCCAACCAGAGAGACCAGCTATGGTCCAGACACCAGGCACCAAGCCTCAGGCACCTCCTCCCTGTAGATCCCAATCACTCTGCATCCAACATGCTTCAAGGGAAGGGGAGACATCCTTCCTAAAGAGGAATGAATCCTGAAGGTGATCCCCAAACACCCTTCATGGAGTAGTTCCTTCGCCTCCTCCATCCATCCCTCTCTGTGACATTGAATGACTCCAAAAGCAAAGGATGGCTTCTTTGGCCCTTTTTTGTGTGCCCCTCCCACCACCACACACACTTGACACTGCCTCCACAGCCCTGGAAAGGGGTCCTACCTCAGAGAAAGGATCTGCACCTCCTTGAATCCCTGCACGTTTTGGTAAATCTTCTTTATCTGAAATGCCAAGGATCCCAGCTCACATCTGAACCTCCAATCAGAAGGCACCCCGGGGCCCAAGCTCCACTCCAAGGTCATTTGAGTTTTGAATTTTACCCCCTTTCCTCCTCACCTGATCCTGGAAGGTGTTCGTGAAATCCCTGTAGACCTTAGAACTGTTGTCATTGAGGTCCGGGGAGAACTCCTGGTTGACAGACACCTCCATGCCCACTTCAGTGTCCACTGTATCTGTACACAACATGCCCTGCCCTGGTCAATTCAACGTCCATTCCTGTCTGACATCACCACCACCACCCTAACCCAGAAGCTGCTCCCACTGCACCTCTCCATGTTTCCTGAGGACTGACTGAATAGCAGAAGGAAGAAAGGTAGGATTTCTGGGATGTGTTGTCCTGAGATGTGAGAAATACTGGAAGCGGGGATGTCCCACAGTCAGTTATGTAGTCTCTCTAGTCTGCCCCAGTGGGAAGAATAGTGGCCCCAAGGTGTCTACTTATAATCCCCAGAACCTGGGAATATACTATGCTACATGACAAGGAGGAGCTAAAGTGGCAGAAGGAATTAAGGGTACTAATCAGCTGACTTTAATATCGGAAATTATGACTGAGCCCAGTGTAATCACAAGAGTCCTTAGCAGGGGAAGAGGGACTCGGCAGAAATGAGAACCACTCAGAGGATGTATGGGAAAAAGGAACAGACATGCAATGTGGCTGGCATCAAAGATGTAGCCAGGAGGTCTTGAGGAAGAAATGTAGGAGGCTGGAGAATGTGGAAAGGGCAAAGAACTGGATTCTCCCCTAGGGCTACCAGAAAATCAAGGGCCAACACCTTGATTTTAGCCCTGCAAGACTCAGGTTGGACTTCTAATCTACAAAATTCTACTGTAATAAATTTGCATGGTTCATCTGCTGAGTTTGTGGTAATTTGATACAGCAGAAATTAGAACCTAATACAACTCCAAGCAACGCAGACTGGGAGGAGGTCCTCGGAAAGAGAGTGGCCCCAGTGACCTTCTGAGGTGAGAGTGGAGGGTAGGTGTGGTATGGGGTAGAAGAGAGCATGAGGGAGAAAACAGGGATAAAGAGATTTGGCAAAATGGTTGATCTCATTAAAGTGACACCTCCCAAGAGAAAGTGCAAAAAGCAACTCACCCAGATATATCTCTCTGGCAGCCAACTCGCAGCGGGAGCCATAGAAGGTTCGGGGACAGGAGCAGTGGCCCTGTGTCCAGGTGCCACCATTGTCACAAGTGCCTGGGTAGCAAGTGAAAAGGGAAGTTAAGGCCAGGACTGACCATGGTCATGGAATTCAGTAGGGGAATGAGAAGGGGTAAGAAAGAGGCAGGAGATCCAACCTGGGCTGCTGATAAACCGAGACTGTGTGGTCATCTGAGTCGTGGTCAACGTTGTCCTGTGAGATGTATGGGTAGAGAGAGACTTGGTGTCCACTGGTATCCGTGGAACTCTGGTGATGGGTAGGCTTTGAGGTGTCAACTTGCGTGTAGTCACCATGGAAGATGAAGATCTCCTTCTACGTTTCGCCTTGTGTGGGATGGTAGTGGAGCCAGGCACAGGCCGAGTATTTATGAAGTTGGAGTTGATCCAGGTCCCACTCTTAGGCCTTCGTGTGCTCAGGACAACCATGTTGATGGGAATTTTTCCAATGCTGATAGAACTAGGAGCAGCAGTCTTGTTGGAGGGGTTAGCGTCCAGCATGGGAGGAGAAGGGCCCAGTTTATCAGGGAACAGAGCGGTCACGCTTGTGGAATTGGGAGAGGTGACCGTCTCAGTAGTAGCAGTAAAAACTGATAATGGGACAGTGGGCATAGAGGTAACTTCAGCATTTGGACCCACTTCGATACATGGTGTGGTGGGAGAAGCAGACACTATTGTGACTGATATGGATTCTGGACATGGGGTGGTGGAAGACAGAGTCAGCACGGTGGTCGTCTGGGTAGGAGAAGTCACTGGGGAAGTTATGGTGGAGGAAGTTCTTGTCGTTTCAGTTGATGAAACGGTGGGAAAAGTAGTGACAGAGGAAGGCCCTGTGCTTTCTGCACTGGACATACTAGAGGAAGTGGGGAAAAAACTACTTCTTGTAGAGACCTCTGAACTTGGGCTAATGGAAGATGACATTATTGCAGGTATTGAAGAGATGATGGTACCAAAAGGGGTGCTTATCGCATTAGTAGAAGTACTCAATATAGGGAACGCTGAAGAGGGAGAAACACCTGAAGTACTGAGAGCTGCTGTGGAGGTGGGTGGTGTTACCATGTTTGAGGTCCCAGTCTTAACAACTTCCGTGGTCGAGGGAGTGCTAAGAGATGCTGTGATCAAGGTGGCAGGGGGAGACGTATATGTGGGAGTGGGGACTTCAGTTCTGGTTGTGGCAAACGTCCCAGTCGGAGGTGAAGGGGTGGACGTGGCCTGGGTGGCAGGGATTGTGGGTGGGGTAAACAGAGGGGTGGTGTCTGTGGTTTCAGTGGGTACTGGCTTTGTGGCTGGGAAAGATGGAAGTGATACAGGGAAACTGGATGCTGTCAAGGTACTACTGGTCACTGGAGTAGAGACCGGAGATGTCTGAACATGGACTGCATTTGTTTGAGTGGCTGAGGGTGTGACTGGAGAAAGAGAATTAATATCTGTTGTGAGAGACTCTAAAGAAACGGTGCTGATGGGAGTGGCTGTGGTTCTCAAAGTGGATGAAACAAGAAGGGTTGTGTCGCTCACTGTGGCTGTTTCTATAAAAGCTGCAGTGGAGGACACTCCCATGGAACTGGACTGATACAGGTATGTATCAGTGGTGGTGGGTGCCAAAGTGGATTCAGCCGTTTCCTGCATTGAATTAGACATGCTAATTGCATATGAGGTGACACTCTCTGCCTGAGTGGTCCAGGTACTGCTGGTAGGCATGAGAGAAGGACCGAAACAAGGACCTGGAATGCTGGTAGAGAGGAACGGAGTTGCTGTACTTTGGATGTTAGGGAACACAGATGTCTCACTAGGCTGAGTGGCCAAGGTTGGGATGATATTAGATGATGTGCCTGTGTTATGGGTAGTGCAGGAAGATGGCATAGTACTTGTGGTGGGGGGGAAGGTGCCAGAAAGGGAAAGTGTAGTCATGGAGGTGGAGGAACCAGCGTGGCCCATGACTAAGGATTGGGTGGTAGCTGATAACAGGGTAGATGCGTCTGTACTGTCAGAGGATGCAGGTACACGTGTGGATGTCTGCACAATAGTGGAGCTATGCACGGATGCATCTAAAGCAGACATGGCCATGCTCCCAGGAGAATAGGGGGTTGGAGAGGTTAACTTCAGAGAACTTTGCTCTTTTGTAGAGATGTGAGTGATGACCAACTCTGGGATAGCAACCTGGGTGGTTTCTGTAGTGGAGGGAAAGGGCAAAGGGGTGGTGAATGAGGTAGGAAAATTTGTAACATTACTGGGAGCGGTGATTATTCTCGTGGAAGAGGGAGAAGAACGAGAACCAGGTGAAGAAACAGAGGTGGTGATTGCACTAATGAACGTGGATGTCAAAAGGGATAGGGCATTTGTGTTTCCACTGGAACTGGACGCTGGGTTTATCCTTATGGTAGGAGTGACTAAAGATACACTAGTGGAAGATAACAAGGCATTATTGCTGGCAGGGAACGGATCGGGTGATGTGTCAGTGGAGCGGACTGTTTTAGTGTCGGTGGGGTGAAGGCTGGTGTTTGGGGTGGAGGCGGAGGCGGGCTCTGTGCCGGGGGCAGGTGGAGGGGAGCGAGGCACCCCCGTGGACGAGGTCAGGCTATGGGTGGCCACGGGAGTCGAGGTGGTGGAGGCGGGAGCAGAGAGTGTGCTGCTTGCCGTGGCGGAGGATGTGACTGACGGCGGAGTGGGCACCTCCGTGGCGACAGGCTGGCTGGAGGTGTCCCTGGGGGCAGTCCCTGTGGTGGTCGGGTGCGGGGGCGGCACACCGGTGCTCGGGGCAGGTGGGCTGGCACCCTCGGTGGGAGTGGCCCTGGGACTGCCGGAGGCCGGGGAGGAGGCGCCTAGCGAGGTGGCTGGCATGGTGCTGGAGTGGAAGGGGGTCGCCGTGCTGCGGGGAGTAGTGAAGATGGAGGGGGCGGCCGGCGTGCTGGCCGAGGTTGCCTGGACAGGGGAGGTGCTGTGTGTGTGGTGGGTGCTGGGGCCGGAGGAGATGATCCCGGTGGTGGGCGTGGCCGCGGGCGTCGGCATGGGCGTGGCCGAGGCCGTGGCCGGGGGTGTGGGTGTGGCTGAGGTGCTGGCCAGAGCGAGTGTGGGGCCGAGGGCCACGGTGGCGGTGGAGGTGGCGGTGGACCGGCCCGCGGGGCCGGTGGATGTGGCCTCGGTGGTGGCGGGCGTGGAGCTGGGGGCTCCCGTCCTGACCGAGGAGGGAGGGAGAGTCGTGGATGTGTGCAGCGTGGCGGAGGCCGGGAGGGGTGAGGTGAATGCGGACGTGAGGGTGCTCCCGGGGGAGTCGATGGTGGAGGAGGTGAGGACCGGGGCCCTGGACGGTGCCGTGGGCACGGGTGTGGTCACCAGGAGGGTGCTAGCAGGCCTGGTGGTGTGAGCAACGGAGGCCGAGGCCAGAGTGGCCGTGAGAGAGGTGGCCGGGGCTGCGGTGTCCCTGGGAGTGGCGACCTGCGTGGTGGACCCGGTGGGAGTGCTGGCGGGAGGCGAGGGGCCGGCCGTGGTGTGGGTGGTGGGGAGTGTGGTGGTGTCGGTGGGCAGAGGGCTGGTGTTCGGGGTGGAGGCGGAGGCGGGCTCTGTGCCGGAGGCAGGTGGAGGGGAGCGAGGCACCCCCGTGGACGAGGTCAGGCTATGGGTGGCCACGGGAGTCGAGGTGGTGGAGGCGGGAGCAGAGAGTGTGCTGCTTGCCGTGGCGGAGGATGTGACTGACGGCGGAGTGGGCACCTCTGTGGCGACAGGCTGGCTGGAGGTGTCCCTGGGGGCAGTCCCTGTGGTGGTCGGGTGCGGGGGCGGCACACCGGTGCTCGGGGCAGGTGGGCTGGCACCCTCGGTGGGAGTGGCCCTGGGACTGCCGGAGGCCGGGGAGGAGGCGCCTAGCGAGGTGGCTGGCATGGTGCTGGAGTGGAAGGGGGTCGCCGTGCTGCGGGGAGTGGTGAAGATGGAGGGGGCGGCCGGCGTGCTGGCCGAGGTTGCCTGGACAGGGGAGGTGCTGTGTGTGTGGTGGGTGCTGGGGCCGGAGGAGATGATCCCGGTGGTGGGCGTGGCCGCGGGCGTCGGCATGGGCGTGGCCGAGGCCGTGGCCGGGGGTGTGGGTGTGGCTGAGGTGCTGGCCAGAGCGAGTGTGGGGCCGAGGTCCACGGTGGCGGTGGAGGTGGCGGTGGACCGGCCCGCGGGGCCGGTGGATGTGGCCTCGGTGGTGGCGGGCGTGGAGCTGGGGGCTCCCGTCCTGACCGAGGAGGGAGGGAGAGTCGTGGATGTGTGCAGCGTGGCGGAGGCCGGGAGGGGTGAGGTGAATGCGGACGTGAGGGTGCTCCCGGGGGAGTCGATGGTGGAGGAGGTGAGGACCGGGGCCCTGGACGGTGCCGTGGGCACGGGTGTGGTCACCAGGAGGGTGCTAGCAGGCCTGGTGGTGTGAGCAGCAGAGGCCGAGGCCAGAGTGGCCGTGAGAGAGGTGGCCGGGGCTGCGGTGTCCCTGGGAGTGGCGACCTGCGTGGTGGACCCGGTGGGAGTGCTGGCGGGAGGCGAGGGGCCGGCCGTGGTGTGGGTGGTGGGGAGTGTGGTGGTGTCGGTGGGCAGAGGGCTGGTGTTCGGGGTGGAGGCGGAGGCGGGCTCTGTGCCGGGGGCAGGTGGAGGGGAGCGAGGCACCCCCGTGGACGAGGTCAGGCTATGGGTGGCCACGGGAGTCGAGGTGGTGGAGGCGGGAGCAGAGAGTGTGCTGCTTGCCGTGGCGGAGGATGTGACTGACGGCGGAGTGGGCACCTCCGTGGCGACAGGCTGGCTGGAGGTGTCCCTGGGGGCAGTCCCTGTGGTGGTCGGGTGCGGGGGCGGCACACTGGTGCTCGGGGCAGGTGGGCTGGCACCCTCGGTGGGAGTGGCCCTGGGACTGCCGGAGGCCGGGGAGGAGGCGCCTAGCGAGGTGGCTGGCATGGTGCTGGAGTGGAAGGGGGTCGCCGTGCTGCGGGGAGTGGTGAAGATGGAGGGGGCGGCCGGCGTGCTGGCCGAGGTTGCCTGGACAGGGGAGGTGCTGTGTGTGTGGTGGGTGCTGGGGCCGGAGGAGATGATCCCGGTGGTGGGCGTGGCCGCGGGCGTCGGCATGGGCGTGGCCGAGGCCGTGGCCGGGGGTGTGGGTGTGGCTGAGGTGCTGGCCAGAGCGAGTGTGGGGCCGAGGTCCACGGTGGCGGTGGAGGTGGCGGTGGACCGGCCCGCGGGGCCGGTGGATGTGGCCTCGGTGGTGGCGGGCGTGGAGCTGGGGGCTCCCGTCCTGACCGAGGAGGGAGGGAGAGTCGTGGATGTGTGCAGCGTGGCGGAGGCCAGGAGGGGTGAGGTGAATGCGGACGTGAGGGTGCTCCCGGGGGAGTCGATGGTGGAGGAGGTGAGGACCGGGGCCCTGGACGGTGCCGTGGGCACGGGTGTGGTCACCAGGAGGGTGCTAGCAGGCCTGGTGGTGTGAGCAGCGGAGGCCGAGGCCAGAGTGGCCGTGAGAGAGGTGGCCGGGGCTGCGGTGTCCCTGGGAGTGGCGACCTGCGTGGTGGACCCGGTGGGAGTGCTGGCGGGAGGCGAGGGGCCGGCCGTGGTGTGGGTGGTGGGGAGTGTGGTGGTGTCGGTGGGCAGAGGGCTGGTGTTCGGGGTGGAGGCGGAGGCGGGCTCTGTGCCGGGGGCAGGTGGAGGGGAGCGAGGCACCCCCGTGGACGAGGTCAGGCTATGGGTGGCCACGGGAGTCGAGGTGGTGGAGGCGGGAGCAGAGAGTGTGCTGCTTGCCGTGGCGGAGGATGTGACTGACGGCGGAGTGGGCACCTCCGTGGCGACAGGCTGGCTGGAGGTGTCCCTGGGGGCAGTCCCTGTGGTGGTCGGGTGCGGGGGCGGCACACTGGTGCTCGGGGCAGGTGGGCAGGTACCCTCGGTGGGAGTGGCCCTGGGACTGCCGGAGGCCGGGGAGGAGGCGCCTAGCGAGGTGGCTGGCATGGTGCTGGAGTGGAAGGGGGTCGCCGTGCTGCGGGGAGTGGTGAAGATGGAGGGGGCAGCCGGCGTGCTGGCCGAGGTTGCCTGGACAGGGGAGGTGCTGTGTGTGTGGTGGGTGC